TCGGATTCGACTGAAAGAGAGAGAGAGCCATGAAGGCCAGATTAGGCGGAAGCCATTACAGTCTAACTTACAGTTAACCAGTCGGCAACCACATAAACGCATAGGGGTTTGAGTTATTCCGTCAGCCGGCAACTTTTAAGCCATGGCTTTTAGAGCACCGTAACAGATTTAAGGGCGTCCGATTGTTTATAGTGAGTAGTAGGCATTTAGGATTGACTTCACTCACACTGCCCTCCTACGTGCACTATTAGATGGTTTGAGCCAATCTACGTCATTCAAACAGTGTTCTGGACTAGCATCTAAAGTGTAACAGCGAAATGGTGGTAAGAACTACAATCTTGGATATATCACGCCATATATTGTTGTCCTCTTAATTTTCACGACGACCTCCAAAAATAACTCAAACGCTCAGGACTAGTAAATCCATGGTTCCAACGTTCAGCAAAATGTTTGCCTTGACCAGCGTATATTTGTGTATTTTTTTTTCTGAACACCCAGATAGCCAAGAACCTAGTGAGGCTGGAAAGACCGATGTCCGTACCTGAATCTTTCAATTGGAGCATGTTTTATCGACGGTAACAGTCTAGTATAGGGCTCACCACGGAAACCAAACCCCCAAATTTCTGTAATATGTAACCGACGGTAATGGTAATGTGTTTGTAGCTTAAATTATTACGGGTTTTGTGGTTGCTATATATTAGCTTTTTGTAATAATGTTACCTACTATTTCCTGTTTTTGTTTGATATATATATTTTATTTTCTCTTCTGCGCCCCTGTAATGCCCCACCTGTATAACCACTAATACCTCCGATACCGTACAACAGAATTTTGGGCGTTCGGATTCCGTAGTGAGCACTATATTAGTGTTACAGATAAACTAAATATAAGCATGAGCATTCTGCACGATACTGCTAATAAGCTAAGAGGAGCTGACAAGACACCTCGGCCAGAGAATACTCGGCCCCAATTACTGTGTAAACCAGGCTACTTTGCCGGCTGGTCTCATACCAATTTACCAAGCATAAGTTTTAGTCTAGGAATTACTTCTTAGGCCCGAGGAACAGCGGCAGTCATGCGACCGCCCTAGGACCAGACAATATGTGGTGATGCCCAAAAGGTCAAACCTGTGACAACTTACATCAAGATAAACAATCCTTTGAAGTGATGTATGATGGCCAACCGGCGATTCCGCATCCTCCGGTTTTACAGATGATTTTGCAGCAAGACAGTACCTTGCAATGACCGCTTCATGCGCCTTTCGGGCTGCCTCTCGGACCTGAGCAAGGATCTGGTCAGGCGGAGTAAGGTCGGTCATGGAGTCACTAAAGGACCAGGCGTCCTCCGCGTAGATACGGAAGGGCGAGGTCTTTGGGGCCGGTGATGGCGCTGTGGAGGACCGCTGTGGCGAAGAGGGTGGCGGCGAATGGCAGCGACTGGACTTTGAGACGGAACGTAGGCGTAATTTGCGACGTCCGCTGCTTTTACTGTCCTTCGAGTTGCGCAGTAATTTCTTCGGTGTGATATCTAGTGGCTTCCTAGTCGCAGATTTCTATCGGAAAACAAATAGAGGAAGCAAGTATGCATAGGCGCTCACAGGTCTCACTCGTCCCATTGTGCCGGCAGACTTACCCTCGAGCCCCATAGCAGCTAGGGATATAAGGCAGGGAGACTCGGATGGACATTTAAGAGTCATCAGTCAGTCATACCTAACCCCAAGTGGTGCCCCATCGGAGACAACGAGCCCGTGGCGCAGTGGTTAGTGTTGTAATTTTAAATATATATAGGACTGATGGAATGGATCCGACAAAGCAAAGGGAGACCGGAACACCCAATTCTGGCTTGTTAACCGTCATCAGCCAGTCATAACCAATCCCAAGGGTTGGAACTCCCGAGATTCGGACCCGGGACTTTTGGTCATTGAGTTTAGTACTCTACCACGGCACCACAGGCTCGTTGCTTTGTCGATTGACATCAGGAATATGAGAAGACTTTATGAGTGGACAGGCTGGAGGAACGAGAAGTCCCTTGGGGATGCTGAGGAAAGCTCCCAGAAGGAGGGCAAGAGGTGGAGGCAAAAGGGTCTATGCTGAGGTGGTCACTAACAAAGGCTTGTACTAATTCAAAACGTTTAATGCAGGGTCTCGGGAACGAAAGGGGGTAGGACCTTGAAAGCAATGTAAGAGGTGATTAAATGAAAAATGGGAGGGAGGCCATTTCTGAATTCATTACCAAACGGGTATAGCTACATCAGCTTACAGGAAAAATAAAGAGTCCTGCTGTGTAAAACATGGATTAATTTAGAAACCCATATGGCAAGCACTCCAGGTAAACAGTGAGACCGATGGGGACAGAAGACAATGATTCAGTAAAAATCGAAAGATAAATGGGCGAGCATACGTTTGCTTTCAATAATTTTTCGTCAGGCCTGTACATTTAAATGGTAGTGAAATAGATAAACTATGTTGGTTGGTGGATACCGCCCATGACATCAACAACAGTACATCTGTCCACCAACCAGCATAGTTTATTTATTTCATTATCATATTAATGTACAGGCCTGAAGAGAATGTATCGAAAGCAAGCGGATGCTCGCCAATTTACCTTTTGATATTTACAATAGAAATTGTTGCAAATTTAAAGATTCAGTAAAAGTCGACTAATGCCTTGCCAGTCAATAAAGT